TCTTCGGAGGGGCTCTCCAAAAGGCCGCGTAGCACGATGTTGTTCACTCTGCTGCTTTTATCCGTGGCTTCAGCCACGAGGTCAAGCAGTGTCGCCTCCGAGGTGCCCTGTATGGCATTTCCAGCTGGATTTGGGCTGGTGAGGTTGGCGACAGGATGTCTGGCAGTGAAGGTGGCGACCAGGGAGTCGTAAAAGCCCGGGAGAGGACACGGGATGCGCGCACGCGGACGATGTTTGCCTCGGCCAGAAAGTGAAGCACGCTAGGCCGGCGCGGCCGGATCTGCTCGATCCACGGCGCTGTGCTTGTCTTCAGGGCAGGGAGTCCTAAAATACCAATATTTTACAACTCGTTGTTGACACCATTATCCGAAACTGGTGGCGAAGGAAGGATAAACATGATTGTATGTCTGTCAGACTCAGTACAGGGGTGGGGAGTTGAGTGTGTGTGTGTGTGGGGGGGGGGGGGGGGGAGGCGTGTGTATGTGCACATGTGCTTGTACTTTTGTGTGTGTTTGTACAGTGTTTGTGTGTGTGCTTGTGTGTGTGCGCGCGAACGTGTGTGTGCATTTTTGTGCACAATTCCGTTATGAAGTACAAATGATAGGTTTACCTTTTGTACACTCGCCAAGACTTCCGTTTCCTAAACGGCTCAAGTCACCGCACCGCGTACTCAGTATACGAGTAGAAAAGTGTTGAAATTATCAAGATTTATAAATAACGACCTGCAACCATGTACAATGTAGATAGATAGGGAACACACATTGATTGTTTTTAAAAGAATCCAGGCATTATCATGAATCATGGAACGAGTGCGTAATAATGCTCTATGTTGCGTTTTGACGATGCTGAAGGAAGGGAGCCGTCGCGATTTACTCACAACACACGCACAGAAGTCCACTCGACTGCAATTTCTGACACAAATTCATAAATCCACGAGTACGCCGAGGAAGCTCAGCGGATCTCCACAAGAACTTTCGCCCATCACCTGCAATGGAATATGGGCTGTATGATACGACCAGTGGTTAACACGGGAAGTGGCGTCATTTTCCACAAATCTCGTTTCATTCACAACCATTTGACTGCAATTCAGTGCAATTTCTGCCGCAAATTCAACTCCACGAGTACGAGGAAGCTCAGCGGATCTCAACACGAACGTTCGCCCATCACCTGCAATGGAATATGGGCTGTATGCTACGACCAGCGGCTAACACGGGAAGTGGCGTCATTTTCCACAAATCTCGTTTCATTCACAACCATTAAATTTTGACTGCAATTCAGTGCAATTTCTGCCACAAATTCAACTCCACGAGTACGAGGAAACTCAGCGGATCTCAACACGAACGTTGGCCCATCACCTGCAATGGAATATGGGCTGTATGCTACGACCAGCGGCTAACACGGGAAGTGGCGTCATTTTCCACAAATCTCGTTTCATTCACAACCATTTGACTGCAATTCAGTGCAATTTCTGCCACAAATTCAACTCCACGAGTACGAGGAAACTCAGCGGATCTCAACACGAACGTTGGCCCATCACCTGCAATGGAATATGGGCTGTATGATACGACCAGCGGCTAACACGGGAAGTGGCGTCATTTTCCACAAATCTCATTTCGTTCACCCCAACTCAAATAAAAGTGAAGTACAATTAGGGATTTGTCTTGCATTTCCATCGCCTCAGAATAAATTAACTTCGATAAACTGAGAGAGAATGAGTGAGGCAGCTGGAAGATGAGGATGAAAATAGAGATCAGAAGACTCGACGGAGCAATCGTCTCCGTGCTCTAAGAGAAATCGGAGAATGTCCCAATTAGTATTTCAAGAAGACATCACAATTTTCGAAAATAATAATTTCCTTGCCTCGCAACACCGTTCCCTGGCAGCGTTCCCCGGCAGCGCGAGGCAAAGATGTTTTCTGGGAATGTGTGCCGTGTCCTCTCCCGGGCTTTTACGACTCCCTGGTGGCGACTGTCTGCTTTACTTCCGCAATGGCGGACTTGGCGCCATTCTCTGAGATTACAACATCTTCAGTACATTTTTCGATAGCGGCTAGGCCTTGACGGATTATGCTAGCATAATTAATTTTTCGCATAATTCCTACCAAAATCGAATAATCGCATAATTCAAGGCAAATTGCATACAAATTGCATAAATAATGGAATAATCCGCCTGTTTGCATCAAATTCCATAGAGTTGTACATGTTCTACAAGTACAAGTACAAGTACAAGTAGATGCACCAGGAAGTCATACATGTAGGTTTACGACTCCCTTGATAACATGTCCAGTCCACTACATGTATACAATCAGTGACGGTCGTAGCTACAATTGTAGGTCGGACAGTGCATAGACCCCGTTGAACTTTTGCTACTACAGTACAACGCCCTATACAAAAAAATCCCTGTTATTTTGCACAGAACCATCATTTTACATGTACATTGTACATTAGCAGCATATGTGAGCATAATGCGGCATAATATGATAACTTTTAGCATAAAAATAGCATAATTCTGCAATTTTTTCAGCAATGCGAAAAGCATAATTTCACGAAAATATTAGCATAATCCGTCAAGGCCTAGTAATAGCGGCTTTCAAGCGCCGGTTCTCCGCTGACAGGCGGTTGATGTATTGTATTTTGTATTGTATTGTATTTATTTAAAAGGATTCTCCAAAAGCAAATGGATGCTTATCACGGAAGTCTCCCACATAAATATCGCAAGAAAAATGGGGAAATGGGGGAGAGGAGAGTGGAAGATGAAGCATGGGAAGAAGGGAAACAAGTACCTAAATATCGAGGTATAAAAGCAGGAAAGAAATCGACGAGGGAAGAAATCACCTCAGCAGATAATAGCGGGACATTTAGATGAAAAAACCCCAGCAAGGATTAATTTCAAGGAAAAAAAAATTTCTCAAACGGAAAAGTTCGGAATTCCAGTCAGAGAATATCTATGCTATGAGTAATGAGCCTTTAGAGCAATGCGAAAATTGACAGAGGACTGAACGCAGCGGATGTGTTCTGGAAGTTTGTTCCATTCCACAGATAAACTGAAGAGAGGGGATTTAAGGAAATGGGCGCCAGAACGAGGTAAAACTATAGAGGACGGGTGACGACAACTAAGGGATACATTGAATTTGAAACGAATTAGCAAAGACGGAAACTGGTAAAAGACATGATGAAAATACAGCAAGGACAGAATCTGACGACGCCACTTCAGGGATGACCAGTCACAAGTACGATTAAGAATCTGCTTCGGGGTTTCCCACTCAGGAGGGTGCCGGATCTTACAAAGCAGATATGAACGAGCAGCAACGGCTTGCAGTCGGTCCTCACAGGCGGTGAAATTTTTGATAGGGCAATCCCCACAGCCTCCTAACTGTAGGTGATTTGGGCACCCAGGAGCACGTGACCGCTTGTTCAACCATGTTCGATTGGGAATAAAGGAGGAACGCTGCATCGCAGCCTTTTCGGACAAAAATAACCAGTCGACTCAGCATCCAAAAGACTACAACATATGGGCCAATCGCGGTCATCCGTGCTTTTATAAGAACGAAATGGCGCTTTTAGTGACATTTTGCATACAAATCCCCATCTAGTAGGGCGCAGTCACCCAGTTTCGGTGGAAATGCGCGAGTTCGATTGGGATTCAAGTAGGAAGGGAGCGTCTCAGCTTCCTCGGACCAAGACCATTCGACTCAGCACCCCGAAGACTACAACTGGTGAAATTTTAATTTTTGCCTTAACTTCCCCTTTAAACTACCAACAAGGCTTCTGTATATAGCTTTGTAGTACTAGCTAGTACCTCCTGCAGTACCCAGGCCAGAACTAAAAGGTCCCGAAGCTCGTATTAATGGCGAGCCGACTCCCTTTCCCTTCCGAAACCCAAGTCCTCCTTTCTACTTCACTCTCCCCTTTTCACTGCGTACTCTGCGTGGCTGGCACTTCCCCAAGAAGCTAAGGACCTTTCTTCCCTCCGCCTTTTTAAGAGCCTTGTCGCGCCTTGACTTTGATTTTGTGTTTCTCATTTTGTTGCAATCACTACTTATCCATGCCGGTTCCTTTTTTCTTCTCCTCCCCTTCTCCCTTCCTTGCCGTGGTTGGCTAACACCCTCTCTCTTTGTATTGGCCGGTGTTCTCACTGTGCTATGAGATGCTGCAATAAATAAATAAATAAAATTAATAAATAACAGCCGGCTATGCAGTATGCTGCAGCTCGCAGTGCAGTGTGCTTTTCCCTTTCTTTTGCACACCGGTATGTCCGTTTCTGGCTTTATCACCTCGTGTTCCTCATTTGTGCACTCATCATGTCTGATTCTGGTTCTATGTTTGACCCTGGGCGAAGTATGGACCCATATCCAGTGCAGGTGATCCAAATGTGGCTCTTTTTCATTCGAGAAGAGACAAGCATTTCTCAGGCTAGCCGGCTGTAGTGAATACTGCACTGTACTTGTACTACAAGTAAAAGTACTAGTCTATAATTGTTGTAGCTCAGAGCTACACCTTCTTCTTGTCGATGCAATGAGGACAATTTTAGCCCTGGACTTTACCGTATTTCCTTTTTATGATCATGAAGCTACAATTACAAGAAGCATCCACCTGTAGCTGTGTACTTGTCTTGACACTCAAATGTTGAAAGAGAACGAGTATGTCAAGGAATCCACAATGACTTCATTCGATACCTTTACAACAGTTCGGAGACGACTGTCGATCAAACCAGCTTCTTGGCAAGAACATCACACTTGATAAACATAAACTGATGATATTAAAGGTGACCCTTGGCCTTGCGCATTGCGATCAGGTCCATGAGCCGAAAGTGTTTCTGCACTACTGAAAACTTACCACTGTAGATCTACAGTCGCCCTGATCCACAGTAAGGTTCTTGGCCTTCGGCCTTCGATCAACCAGACCAGAACATGGTCTGCGGTTTATGGAAGCCTCATAGTTACGTAGGAAATAAAGCATCATGTGTGTGGTTCATTACCATTTTTACCAGAAAACCTTGACAAAATTATCATACTGATCTGAGCAGTCGATTGCGAGTGTATCTCAAACTGCTGGTACATAGTCATTGTAAGAAACTAACCAGGCAAGTGTCCAGCGTTGGGCTGACTGCGGGGTACTGAGGATTTATAATTCTGCTATTACTAGTATTAGTTCTAAAATTCTATGAAGTCTCGGATCGGGTATCATGGCCGCAAATGTGAAACGAGAGCATACATCTACGTCGACTACGAGTACATGTACTACGACGAGTGTCAAAATCGAAGCAGGAGATGTCAACATAAAGATACTTGCTCCGAACGGGGACAAGGTTAGTTTTCGGATCAAACGGACCTTGAAGTTTGCTGAAGTGCAACAGTTGTTTTGCAAGAAGCAAGGGTACAGTTCGAATGTGCTGAGACTGCACTTCGCTGGAGACCGACTACATGGTTCTCAATGCCTGAATGATCTGGAGCTGGATGAAGATGACGATCCCGACAACATCGAGATGGAATTGTTTCCTTATTCTGATGGGGGCTGTGGTCGAGCATGAGATCGAGACATCATGATTGCGGTGAGATTTCAATGGGACCATTTATATACAGTCAGACCTCGCATAACCGCACACATCTGTTTTCCACAAAAAAAATATCTGGATAATAGTGAGGTTCTGCTCTACGTTACCGGAACGGGACGCAAAGAACCACGGGGACTCTCTTCGCATCCCCATAACGTAAAGAAATCCTGTTCTGCTCTACGTTCACGTAGAGAAGTCACGTGGAATGTGTACAGTACACATTCCACGTTGCGCATTTTGGCAGTTTTCTGCCTGCACTCGAATGATACCCAGCAGATCTGTACGCATTTTCTTTGCGTGTGCCACAACGTAGAGAACCTCGTCTCCGCATAGAAATCTGGACCCAAAGCACGCGAAGCCGTGGACTCTAACCCAGACACCTTTCTCTCTACGTGATTTCTCTACGTTTCACGTATAGCAGAACCTCTCTACGAGTAGGCGAGGGAACCAGATATAACCGAACACACACACACTCGTACTGAGTTGGTCTTTATATGCATGTGGCATATCCAAAAGTGTAAAATTGTACATATGTATGGGTGCCATGCAGTACAGCTAGCGCTAGCGTGCACACACTTGAAACACAAGCGAGAAAAAAATGACTACTGACTACTGACTACACATTGTAGCCGTGCATGCAACTGAGTACTGTCCGTATGCAGCCAGCAGGTCAAGGAGTCATACTGACCCCTTTGTTTGTAAAACTCCCTGATTCTAGCTTCTGAGAGCCGCGTGCAACCGGATATGACGAAGCTTTTTGTACACATTTGAACCAGTTTGCACACAAAACCATTCACCGGTATGCGGACCGCGAGCTCCGGTTATGTTGTATGCATCATGTATGCTGTAAATCGGCAACCAGCGATTTTCTTCCGGATGGCAAGGGGTGCAGAAAAAAGTGGACCGGATAAGCGAGGTCTGACTGTAATTACATGTACATGTATAATGCGTTAGTGGGCCAACTGGTCGTATAAAATTATGCCAGTTTGTGGAGCGCTGATCGTGAACATTTGGAATTTCGTGAAGAACAGGTCACATGTGAAATGTATACAAACATGCCGACGTTTATACAATACTAGTATAATTATGTCAGTGCTCGGGATCCTCTCAAGTCTCGTTGCTCCTTTTCGTCTAAAATGAAGCCCCATTCACAACATCACTGGGTTTATCGGGTGTTGGCGGCAGTCATGAGTTCCCTTCGGGAACGGACACGATAATTTATAACGAGAGAGCTTGGAAGCTCAGGGCCCTACGCTATGCTTTTTTGCCTTGATGACCTAGACAAAAAAAAGCATAGGGATGTTATAAAATTCTTTAAAAAATTCCTTTTTTTTAAAGACATAACCTGGGATTCGAACCCGCACTATCGCGCCCTGCATGCATCCCCCGATACACTTCGCATACATACTAATTCTTCCAAGTTGCTTCACATTATGATCTTGCATTTGAAAGCCCTATTTGAATATGCATTGTGGCCAGCCGTCTTTGATGGTACGGTACGGTAGGGATAGGTACGGGACAGGTACGATCGAGGGTAATACGACACCGTCTCCCGTACCGTACCATCAAACACAGCTGGCCACATACAGCTGCCCGCAATATTCAAATAGGGCTTTCAAACGCAAGATCATAACGTGAAGCAACTTGGAAGAATGGGTATGAATGCGAAGTGTATGGGGGAATGCATGTAGGGCGATAGTGCGGGTTCGAATCCCAGGATATGCCTGAAAAAATAGGAGAATTGAAAAATTTATAACATCCCTATGATTTTTTGCCGTCAGATACGGGATAGCGCCAGGCGTGACACAAACAAACAAACAAACAAACACACAAACACACAAATACCAAATTAAAGCTGTGTGGACCCTGGCTAGCGCCAGATCCCACATCACTTTCTGCGACGCGACGTGCAACATGCCAAGCTTGCGACAAGAAAATGCCTGTCGCCAAGAGTACGTAACCCCAAGAGGGTGCAACTCTGATCTCCGAGCTATGGGTGTCCTGCGTGGCGTGCTGCCTTCTCTACGTAGTGAAATGACGATCAAGCTGCCTGGATTTGAGTTTTCCTATGGTTTAGCCTCAACGATTTCACGTGCAGTAAGTCCAAAGGCAATGCCTGTGCGTGACGTATCACGTACACATCCATCCGAAGTCTCCGAGGAATGCGGATTTGGAAGCAGGAAACCGTAGCAGATCAGAAATGACGCAATGGCCCACAGTTCCAGGCTACGTAATGCGGGCAGCGCACCGTGCCAGACCCCATATGCAGAGTTGCATACTCTTGGGCTATGTACTCTTGCTGCCGCGTACTGTCACAAGCAGTCCCAAGACCACTGTTGCAGAAGTTAATCAAAGTTCAACTTTTGCGATATACGTATGAGGCGTGACATGCATCAATGCAGTACAGTTTACGATGCTGGATGCATGTGCAGTGCGCGTGCATGTACTATGCACTACCGCTTTAGATGTCGCAGAAACCAAAATTATCATGAATCATGGTGTCACAGGTGTCGCGCATCGCAATGCCAAAAAGTAGTGCATGCATTGCGAATTAGGCCAGGAAGAGCGCACAGAATGCTCGTCTCCCTCCGCACAGGAGTAGGGCAGGACATTCAAGGCAATCTAGGTGCTACCGTCACTTTGTATTCACCCTTCCTCTCTTGTCCTTCCAGGGCAAAGTCAATGCTACAAATCAAGCCTTGCCTGTTTTTTTCTCCCCAATTGAATCGTGTATGAAAGCCAAAGCTGCAACGAGACCAACTTTCCGTGAATGAAAGAGATCACATGTCAAAAACATGATGTTCTGTAACCTCTGTATGCTTTTTGATAATTTGATGTCCTGAGACCTTTCCTGATTCTGATCTCTTTTAAAAGGTTGTCTGTGTTCTGGCCACACCTTTTTGTCTTGTGCAGATGCCCTGACTAGCGTAGCGCACTAGTTCTCGGCTGTGCAAGATTGCCAACAGGACTATCAAAGACACTAGAATCACTGTACTGAAACAGGTAGTACTTATTCTACCCAGATGACTGCACGATTGTACTTGATTGGAAACGCGTACCACTCCTGACTGTTCGTTTGGTTTTTCTCAACACTTTTTCATGTTGTTCTCCTTTTATGCCATTCTCAAATTGGCCGCCGGTCGGTACTATATCCTCTACGCGTTGTACTGGGACACGTCATTTTAATTAAACGTCCTCGGGAGCAATACATCATCGAGGACTAGGCACACAGACTCATATCCACACCCAGATTCAGACTAGTAAGTTCATGTATGACGTGTGATGTGGTTCATGATTGTGTGGTACATGATGCATATTCAAGCTGTGACTGATAACTGAAATAGTAGCCAAAGCATGTGAGTCATGCTCAAATACCGTACATGTAGTCTTTAGTTCTCTTTCTCTTTTCAAGTCTGTAAGACTTGGGTGAGGCCTTGGCACGTGTGCCTACAATACTGCCTTCAGTGTTGTTTGTTGTTTACAAGTCCATCCAGACAACTGTCGTGTATTTGCTACATGTGTACACTGTATTTTTATAATAATCTATTTTGCCGGTCGGGCACCGAATTTACGATTTTACCATGTGATTGTGCTGCATGGAGAACTCACTGTGAAACCAAAGAAATATTCTGCATGACAGTGTGGGAATTGTTCAATTGTCAACATTCTGCTCACTCTGTCCGCCATGGTCCATACTGCAAAATGTAAACCAAGAAACATTTGCGCCCGTTTCAGTTCACAATTTGCGAGCTCAGACCAATTTGCACAATAGTTTTTGACTTTTTTGTCGTACAGTTCTATGTTTGCGCCGGCTTATTTTGCGATTTCGCGAACACCGCAAAGCACTCTAGATCTCAAACGTTTCCCTGTTTACATGTATGTGGTTACAATGCCTGTCCGTCTTCCTCGGGGCCCTTGGTTTTCAGGAGTGATCCCCTTTGAATCCTTACTAGCACCACCTTCATAACTGTAAAATTGTGGAATGTACATGTACATGTATACTCACTAATCGGATTTTATGACATAGCATCTGTTTGCGAGCGCAATGAAACACCAGCTACTCTTCTGAAGCTGAACTGCTGCAGTGAATTACACATCCGCAGGTACTGGCACTCGCAACCGTACCCAATTCCCCAGAAAGGTACACCGGTAACTCTAAAAATCCGTACCGGTATTCAGACTTCTTTTTTTTAATTTTTTTGCAACATCTCAAGACTCAGTGGAAACATCGGCCGATGTGGTTGCGAAGAGAGTGGGTGGTAGCCCACCACGGCGATAAACATAAGTAGGGGTTAGGAGGGGAAACGGAAGACATCATGATATGTTTCTAGAAGCACATGTACTACAAGTACCGTAGTTGTATGCCAACCTCCAAGCATTGAAATTGTGAGCATACCCCCCCCCCCCCCCGGCCAAACACACTAAAAACACTGCAGTTTTACTCATTCCATCGGCACCTACAGTCAGCTGGAAACCTATGGGTACAAGGGGTGTGGCTAATGTTTTTTTTGGTATGCGTGCCAGTGGTTGTGAGACTTATCCCCTCAACCCCCACCATTAGGCGCTGTATCTGCCACTGGTGTTTCCGGGTGTTAGCCTCCGTGTACATCTTCCTGGAAGTGCCCATACGGTACTGTACAGCATGTGTTGCCAGTAAACCTACATCGACCCGTGTACATGTGCCGGTATGTACACCGCAGTCAGGCGCCAGTAGTATGTATCAGGGGGCTTCTAGCACGAAGTTGACCCAGAACTGACCTTGTTATGTTTTGACACGGACAGGTTGTGGTATCATACTACACAAAGTGAGGAAGATCAAACCCCAAATTGACAAGGTCGAACCACAACCTGTCAAAAAATGACAAGGTCACTTTGGGTCAACTTTGTGCTAGAAGCCTCCGGGCACATGCTACTGAAGCCTCGCTTGGCCTCTTTCAATGATACCCGGTGATACCTGCTCAGCAGCCATTTCCTTCTGCACATCACTGCAATCTGGTAGATCTACATTCAACGGTAATCCACGCACAACAAAACTGCAATGTAGGACTGTAGGATTTTTCCTAGATTTTTGCTCAATTCGAATGCAGGTACTTCAAAAGAGGATGATTAATGACCAGGAATAGCTATCGTCGTGGTGAGAACTGAGCATCTCAGGAATACCCGTAGTCGAGTAGAACTTACGAGAAGACTAAATAAAGGCATCTCAACTGGCCGGAGCTGGCATTAGCTGCGACAAAGACGGGCAACAGAATAAAATAAGTTTGCGGTATGCCGGCAAAGATAGTGCTGAACAATAGAAAGTGCAAATGTGCACATCATCGACGAATGCCAGACAGCAAGTGCCAACCAACACTGTGTTGCCTAATCAATGGCTTGCATCTTGTTCTGCACCTACAAATGATGCATGCGGTCAAGTGTACTGTGCCATACTACACCTAGCACATAGTCAAGTGCGGCCGGTAGCAGTATTGTGTACTGAGAGGGGAAAGTGCCTGCAAAAAGACGCATGGCAGGAGCATGTGGAGGTGTAAATCTGGGATGTAAATCATTTCCCTACAGCACGATGGTAAAGGCTAAATGGACGATTGCTAGTATAGATCGGAAGTATCACATTCTGTGCCCGGCATTTGGAAACTGCATGACAAGCTATGAACAGGACCAACATGACTAGGATTTAGGAGTGACCTTTGTGACCTGAAAGTTGTAAATGTCTAATTCTTGCTAACTTGGAAGCAATCCGGAGCATCACACGGAGTGTTCATCTAAAAACGTCCTCGCAGATTTAGCAGCAGTTGATAAGTCTTCTTCAATTCGTAGCAATGACTTTGTATTCTGTTGTGCCTTCTCGCCAAACTGCACCAGCTTCTGTCGGCTGTTCCACTGTCTTTGTTTGTAAGTACTCTCCAGAGAGCTGTGCATCCGCTGCTGCCAGTCAGTCAGCTAATGGCAACATAATTATGTGCAACAGTTATGACAGGCACACACGCATGCACATACATACACACACCTTGAACTTCGAACCTTGAACCTTAGAATGACCCTTAGCCTCCAAACCTAAAATAACCATTGAACTGTCACAGATGGCATACATTGCATCAGACGAAGTGAGTGATACAGATCTTTGCACCAATCAACTGATATGGTACGTGGTACAATGTAGGCAGAAGGTGCACTGGGTGTATGTGTGGGTTTGGGGGGGGGGGGGACTCTAAACATTGCCAAGTGATCCTTATCAGTCAACTGTCACTCACTTGTTTGTGGTCCCGTATACTCTCATCAAGCTGGCTACGTTGCTCCAGCAGTTCAGCAAGCTCTGCCTTGGCTCGCATGCTGTTCTCCTGGCTCTTTCGGTAGTGCTCAGAAAGAGACTTGTTCTTCTCCGTTACCTCTGCTACCTCATCCTGAAAGACAATGAGAAGTGTGAAAAGCACATGTATAACAAATGCTTGAGCAACCGCAAGGCACCGCCAACTCCTAACCTTGGTAGTGTCACATTCATTCTGATTGGGCCGCCATAATTATGCGTAACCTGTGTGTATGTACAAGTAGCATAATTGTGTTGTGTGTTACTCGGGTGCTGAGCAGCATGCATAAATAGCATTTATGTTTGATGGTTGTATGCCTGGCTGCTTGTTTGTATTGATCATGTGAATCGAATCTTGGGCCTGGGAAAGTATTACTATTTTGGCAAGATTGTTGGTTTGTTGTCATTTCACTTCGCCAGATACACCGGCTGGATACACAGGCATTTCTGCCTTCTCGTCTAAGCATATGGCTAGACTCAATACTCAATCTGCGGACAGAACTGCTTCTTCCTTTGTGACTAGACTCAATATGCCGTGGAAGAAGTTGCAAGTCATGCAGATATGTTTGACACTGTAGATAACTACTGATAGCTAACCTTGGGACTACCTGTACAATCAACCTTGTGAATAACAAACACGAGTAAAACAACAGCTGGTGAATAGCGACACTGTGTGTAGTGTACCTTCGGACAAGGGTTGTTAATCACGAGGCTCAGTGCACTTCAAAGTAGAATCTGCATGCGTGGGCTTATTGTGTGCATGTGTGTGTGTGGGGGGGGGGGGGGGGGTCTGACCTTGTACCCTTCCAAGTAGCCATGCTGTAGTTTCATGTAGCTGGAATGCTTGTCACCTGCCTGTCGACGAAACTCTGAAATTCACAAACAAATTCACGCCACACCTTAGACCGTATACCATAAACACTCGGTGCCAGAGGTGACACTATATGATACTAGTTGCACTAGGCCATACACTAGAATTGTTATGTCCCTGTCTGCAAATCATAACGGGAGGGGGGGGGGGCTTGCAGTACTTTATGGTACTGGTAACAAAGCTCCTGTTTTCTCTACATAAACTACATATTCCTCAGGGGAAAGAACATAAGAGTGATGGTGGTTATATCCGGTAACAACGAGAATAGAGGCAGGATTCGCATCTGTACACATTCGAAACATGAAGACATCCTCTTAGACTAACCTATGCCCATGCATGCATCCTAATGTATCACTAACCTTTGATCTGTGTCAGCTCTTGCCGTATCCTCTCCTCGTGCTCTCTTTCTTCTTTGATGGTTTGCTGCTTTTCAAGAAGTTCTTGACTGGAGTGGCATGGAAGGCATAGACAACACCAGCAAACTATTGGAGTAGCCAAATGGGTTTACACCGTAAGAAGATTGGAAGCAACACTGAAGTCCACGCACATAACTACACACAGTTACATGCTACATAACTTAGATGCAGCCAGTCTCCTGTTTCACGGACCGACTTAGGCCGGTACCAATGCAGAATTGTTCAGAGACATGCTGATCAGACACAAGAGTCCCGGCTGTATCCTGACTTAGCATGGTGCACTTTTTTTAAACACATTCTAGACGGGTTTACACAGTTTTCTGGGGATTCTTACGCTTTCTGTTCAATATCATCTTCAGTTTTGGCAATCAGCCTCACAATTCCAGTGTCGGATTCCTGAAATTCCTACGAAGAAGAACAAAATAGGACAGAGACAGCAAATACAGTTTCTGAGCAATTCAGTCAGCCGTCAAAGTTTCACGGAATGAACAAGAGGTTCCGAATCCTCACTTGCCTGATGACACACACACAGCCCATCAACCTACAACTACAGTGTAGTATAGTAATCTTCAAAGTACAATGATCAATACTGAACTAGGCTGATGAGCCAATTTAATTATGGAAAAAAGGAGAATGGCAAAACTGTTACGAGTTATGACTAAGTGTCCACCAACGTAACCAGATCATATACAGTCACTCAGCCAGTGTGACAACATGGCACAAAACTGACAAGGAGTACTGAGTAGGTGCCCTCTGGAAACTTCGGAACCCTGCCAGCACCAGGGCGAAAAACATTGGTGACTGCATGACCATGTGTTGATAACATAGGTTCAGCTCTCACATAGCTGGATCATTGCAATGTATGTTGAACTCTCATACATTCTCTTGGTCAGCACTCACAGCAAGGACGAGGTAGGCTGGGGGAAAGCATGCGTATTGTGCGATGCAATGATGGGTGAGACGTAGAAACGATTGACTATACCATGAAAGGTCTTAGAGCAGGAGGGGGTATGACTACGTGTGAAAGAGAGGCATACGCGTAGACCAGTTGTCTTGGTAACCGGTTCAAGGGACCTAACATATTATAATTATATACAGTGCAGTAGGCATGTAGGACTCTGGTTTCAATGACTGATGTCCCTGAAAGAAGCCATCGAAACAATCACAAGAAGTCCAAGTAAAAATGCAGGCTAGACATCTATCGGTTACTGCCCTGGAGTATGCAGCATATGCAGACTTGTTACCATCCTTTCTTTCTCTTTCAAATCTGGACGCATTGTTCAATCACTGGATTTCTAACATATAACCACATGACTATACTTGTCTTGTAGTACAAACTGAAGAAGTACCTTGATCTTCTTTTCCAGCATGTCTTTCTCCCACTTGAGCTCTTGGATGGTTGCATCCGTGCTCTCAACTTGAACCTGCCGGTTAATTAATACACCACAACATGCAAGCACTTGACAGTGAAGTTTGAAGTTGACACACATGTTTATGAGTGCTACAAATAAATCGTGTTCAGATACATTGTAACTGGCTATAGCACTGACATGCACTATCATCCCCCCCCCCCCCCCCACACACACACACACAACAGCACTTTGGACTTCAGATTATCATTCTGCATAGCAAGGCATTTTGCAATGAGTTCACAATTAAGAGAAACACCTACCTGCAACTTTTCCTTGGCTGGCTCCAACGGGGCAATCTGCTCTTCCAGGTCAGTTTGGGTTTGGTGTAACTCTGTGTCGATCTTCTCTACCTCTGTGCGAAGATGGTCACGAGTCTTGCAGCATTAACAACAGCAACATACCGTGACACTGTCAAGTCATGGGTAAATTAGACTGTTAGGTAAGTCATCCACAACACGTTAGTGATGTCCATTTGTTGCCAATGGTTGTCACTATTGTTGTCGCAATAGACAATACAATTTTTTAGAACACGGAGGCTCCCGACACTGCAGCCAATGAGCCAATGTGAGTGCAGAGTTTTTGAATAAAACTTGCAGCGTCAACGACCTTTGTGTAGTGGTGGTGACTGATCATAATAAAACAATACAAAGACATGAATAACTGTTAATACTGTATCACAGCATGGGCATACTTACTTGCAATGTTTCTCGTACATAGGTGGCATATGGAACCCTCAAGTCACTGCCATGACCCCCCCCCCCCTCTCCATCCCATGCTCTATGTTGTACAGTAGCATGTCTATTCCGTGTATGCATTCACTCTAGCACATACCTCTTCACAGTGTGCCCACTCTTCGTTCAGCTTCTCAACCTGCACAAGCGGCAAATCACGCACGCGTTGGAGTACCCCGCACACACATACACACACACACACACACACACACACACACACACACACACACACACACACAATTGAAGCAGCAAATCATGTGCAAGACATCTACAATCCAAACATTGGAGCGGTAATAACATCATATACATAGCTCTCAGCCACTTTAGTGTACTATGCGGCCCCTACTGCAGATCAGGATTAGTGTGCATGCACAAGAAGTTCGCTGCCTCTTGCTCTAGTTCATGGACTGAGGAAGAATTTCTGAATGTATATTGACAGAAAATCATATTGTTGTGGGCTTTCAGCTAGACAATTCGCAGAGTCGGTCAACAATGACAGGCTTTCTGCTGCTCTGCGCCAGTTGTCAAATGATGAATGTGGTGGAGTGCATCAACTGGATGCCATCATTGACGGCACATCGGTTCGGGATATACTGCAGCAGAAACTCCCAGCAGCTGAGCTCGTGGGCGGGGATGCGATCATGGATGGACCGCCACTCCTTGAGCCCCATCCCATCTTTTTCAATGCAATTGATCAAAAAGTTAAGCAGGCCGCCGTGGGCACAAGTGGTGCAGCTGGCCCTTCGGGTGTGGACGCGGATGGGTGGCGGCACATGTGCTCTTCGTTCACGGATGTGTCTCGGTCCCTGTGCAGTGCCCTGGCTCTGTGTGCTCAGCGGCTGGCTTCAGCTTATGTCGAGCCGGAATCAATGGTGGCATATACTTCGTGTCGCATCATTCCATTGGACAAGAGCCCTGGAGTGCAGCCTATTGGAATCGGCGAGGTCATGCGGCGGATAATTGGCAAGGCAATACTGTCTGTTGCAGGTGGGGCAGTTAAGGAGGTGGCTGGATAGAGGCCGGTATTCATGCTATGACCAGTGTGTTCAGTGATGAAAGCACAGACGGTATATTATTGGCGGACGCATCCAATGCCTTTAATAGAAGGAATCGAGCTGTTGGCCTGCGCAATGTTCAAAGAATCTGCCCTGAGTTGGCTCCAGTACTGATAAACACCTATCGCACACCTGCCCGACTGTATGTTGGTGGTGAGTGCCTCATGTCGGAAGAGGGCACCACGCAAGGAGATCCTCTGGCAATGCCATTTTATGCCATTGCCATGCTGCCTCTGGTCAGGAAGGCGACAAATGAGGATTCCATCCAACTCTGGTTCGCTGATGATGCCTCGGCGGCGGGAAAACTCGCAAGGATGCAGGCCTGGTGGGATGTTCTTGTTGGGGATGGCCCTAAATATGGATATTTCCTGAATCCTGCAAAATCAGTGCTGGTTGTCAAGGAGCGATGCATGGAGGAGGCCAAGTCTCTCTTCCAGGGTACTGATATATCAATAACATGTGAAGGATCACGCTACTTAGGGGCTGCGATAGGGACCTCCCAATTCTGCAAAAGTCGGCAGTGGACCGATGAAGTTTTGCGACTGGCCGAGATTGCTCAGAGTCAGCCCCAGGCAGCATATTCCGCTTTGTGCCAAGCCATACGGAGCAAATGGTCTTTTGTATGCCGGACGATGGAGGTCTCCGAGCACGCATTGGAGCCACTGGAAACGGCCATCCACCACAAGCTGATACCGGCCACCACTGGCTGCTCCTCGCCAAATGACTCCATGAGACGGCTTTTTGCATTGCCTTGTCGGCTGGGTGGTCTCGCGATAGTACAGCCTTCAACTCTAATACGTCAGTATGACACGTCCAGGTTCATCACTGATCCCATTGTGCAACTAATCAAGGGAGGCATCCACGCCCTCGGAGATGCGTTGGATGTTGTCCGGAAGAGGAAGAACCAATCGAGGTCATCAAATCGAAGAGGCCGGTCGGATGCACTGTCGTCTGTTATCGCGGACTCTTCACCAACGTTTGTCCGAACAATTGACCTGGCAAGGGAGAGGGGAGCTTCCAGTTGGCTGACCTGTAAGCCGTTACGTCGCTATGGGTTCAACCTAACGAAAGGTGAATTCAGAGATGGACTTTGCTTACGGGATGGCTGGACACTCCAGCGGCTGCCGTCATCATGTGTATGTGGGGTGACCGCCTCTGTGAGCCATCTCTTATCATGCTCAGTTGGTGGTTTTCCATCGATAAGACACAACGAGATTAGAGACGTAACGGCTTCACTTTTGAAGATCATATGCAATAATGTGGCCATTGAGCCAAGTTTACAACCATTAACCGGAGAGCGACTTCGCTACCGCACAGCAATCACCGAGGACCAGGCACGTCTCGATATCGGTGTCAGTGGATTGTGGGGCAGTCGTTTCGAGCGCACACTCATTGATGTACGGGTGTTTAACCCTCATGCTGCCTCGAACCGCACTGCACCGCTGGCCACTGTCTATCACTGACATGAACAGGAAAAACAGAGAAGGTATGAGGAGCGGGTCTGGAATGTCGAAAATGCGTCGTTTGCCTCGGTGGTCATGACGGCGTCAGGTGGTTTTGGGCGTTCGGCAACCAGCCTGTATATAAGAATCGCATCGCTGCTGGCTGACAGACGTAATGAACCATATTCACATGTCATGGCATTTGTCAGGTGCCGCATTTCCTTTGCCCTCCTAAGGTCATGTATAGTGTGCCTTAGAGGGTCTAGAACATTATTGGAAAATATCAACAAAGAATGGATCAACAAGAGCCTCCCGCCACGCTGGCGGTTTCAGAAGCAGCTATTGCTGTTAAGTATTTTTTACAGCGAAGGACCACCAGAGCAACCCGTCTCGCTAAAGCACCTTGATTTGCAACCAGGGACAGGAATCTGGTATGGCAGCACACAACTAAGTTCATATGATGTAATAATCTGGACTATAAGTCACAACACATTTTCAGGTTTGAGCCATATTGTTTCAATGTGTTCACATAACTAGGATGTCAAACTCGATCAAGTCCCACCTATTTCTTTGCCCTTGAAATCAAGATTGAAATCAAGTGTTATAAAAAGTGCAACATATATTCAGGGAAATACGGTAGTATCAACAACCTAAAGGTAACCGATGATTCACTGCAGCGATTGGAAACTACTAATGGCTTGCAGTGTTTTAAGAGAAGGACACTTACCTTGCCTTCCAGACGCTTTTCCTTAACCTCCATGCCTTCAAGAAACTCACTTTCCTGGACATTTGCAAAAATTCGACCATTACAATATGATACCGTCAATTCACCTTTGAAGTCACTTTGAAGTTGTCCAAGGTAAAATATAGGGGTCAAACGGGTGTACCTTTAACTAACGAACGGGTAATTTTCTTAACGGGCGGGTTAACGGGTACCCTTTAGCAGCCATATTATTTTTTTGCGCATTTCTCACATAAATCATGATTTTAATTTGTATATTCTCAGGTTGTATTTTGATACTACATTATGATTCGTGTACCATAATATTATTATGGCAATGAAGGTTCCAAATGAATGTCATCCGTGCATTTGCCCATGTACATAACTTCACAGGCAGTAACTAATCGTACATGTAGATGGTCCTACAAGCTACATGTATTTTGATACATGTACGCAAATCAACTGCAGATCGATGTGATTCAAGCCATGCAAGGACAGAGTGGTTTAGCAAAACTTCCGTGATCTCGCGCAATCCTATTTGCTATGTTCGCAGAGAACTGGTACTCGTTGCATTCAGAAGATGTTCGCGCCCATACATTGTAGCTAGCTGGGGTGCCTGACACAGCTGATGTGCTGCTGGCCAGCTAGCTGCTAGTGCTAGCTTGTTGAACTCGTGAAATGAATCTTCACAAATCCGTAATCTTGTATGCAATATTTCGAACTACTTTTCAGCTCGTCGATTGAAGGAACAAACTACAACCATGAGTATCATACATGAAGCTACCACCTACGGACATCACCGTTTGTGACACTCCCACTGGTCACTCAGCCTGGTGACACTAGTTCATCAAGTACTGTGGCAGGTTCGATGTCGGAGAACCATCGTAACTTTCTAGTTACTCAGCTGCCACCTCGAACGAGTTTCAAGTCTTGCATTTTCTCACATCACAATCAAAAACCTCCAGTACGAGGATTTTTACTTGCACTAGAGTGGAGAGAACAACTGTCAAGTCTGTCTTTCAGCCTGCTCCTGCCTGATAAAGTCGAAAGCGGGAATGCACAGGAAAAAGGAAAAGAGTATCCGCACTCCTATTTTGAGTCTTGGAATACGATAGGATCACCTTTTTTTTTTTTTTTTTTTTTTTTTTTTTTTTACAAACGGGTACCCTTTTACTAACGGTACCTGAGATTAACGGGCGAGTACCCGGGTACCCGGTACACCCGTTTGACCCCTAGTAAAATACATACAGTGGTGGTGGTGGTGGCGGCGGCGGCGGCGGTGGTGGTCGTCGTCGTGGTGTGTGTATATCAAGGAATCTCATGAAATGATGTACAGAGTCAGAGATACTGGGACAGATGAGAACAATGATAAAACCAACCTTGGATTCCTTCTTCACAGCTACCTCCTGCATTTTCTCTAAGACATGTTGATCAGCTAAAATACGCGACTGCAACAGCACAAACAGAGCAACCCCACAAACACACCGGAAAAATGGGCAAGCACAATCATGATGATTAGTAATACCTATCGCACTTGACCTGCAAGATCTGGGAGTTGCAGTGCTCTCACCTGAATAGTAACCTGCTGTTTTTCTTCATCCTGTTCCGCTTGCTTTGCCTGAGCTAAATCCATCTATGCACCACACACACATAGTAGTCGCAGCAACAGAAAGTCAGAAACTAATAGCACCAGCGCCACCACAACCAGCAAAAGCAGCAACCGCAGCAGTTGCAGCACCAGCAGTGGTAGTCGCAGTCATAGCGGCAGCAGGAGCAGGAGCAGCACAGATACAACTCCATGATGTCAGAATTTCACACAATGAAATGAGATTCAATTGCACACTTGAGTGGCAAACCATACACATTACTGCAGCACAGCTTTTAAAGCAACCTGGCACATCAAATCACCGTGAGTAATATATTACGTGCACTCCGCAGTACCAAGGTCTGATAACGTTAAACAAAACTTCAAGGACCAAATCGTTTCCAAGATAATCGGCTACTGCCTTCCCAATCCCAACATAAAAGGTGTGAGCTTTTCTTTTGCAGTAAGTGCGAGTATACAGGTAAATTGTTGCAGAAACACACATATATTATTATTACACTGGACCGTGACTTAGATGGAGGCTCTTGCAATGCTAGAACTCCCGGGCCAGGAGATTACCTTCAGTCTGTGCTCTGAATCTCTGAGGGTTGACTGCAAAGCATCAACACGAACACTTTGTTTCTTCCTTTCAGCTCGAAGACGGGTAGACTCCTCAGATGCCACCTTGAAAGAGAGCGGGGGCCAAGACAAATTAGAGGGTTGTACAGCACTGAGAGGTGATGGTATCATGAGAGAGAGAGAGTGTGTGTGTGTGTGTCTTTACGCGTGCGTGTGCATGCGTGTCCACTTGCATATGTGTGTGCGTGTGTGTGTGTGTGTGTGTGTGTGTGTGTGTGTGTGTGTGTGTGTGTGCGCGCGCACGCGCGCGCGTGCGTGTGTGTGTGCTAAAGGGTGCACCAATGCCTCTTCTACAGTTGTCTTGGCATGGGTTGTTGTATCTATGATAGAGTTGTGAGCCGACGATACAAGAGAGAACCTACAGTGGAAGTGAGAGATGAAATTGAACAGCAAAGCTTCAATTCGTTGTCAAAGACTGAGGCCATACCTCCAACTGCTCCTGAATACGGGTCAGTTCGCCTTTTAGGCGTTCCACTCCTTTGAGAGCTGCTTCCACGTTCTTATCTCTGAGAGTGATACATAGCAAAACACCAAACACCAAACACCGTTGTCACATCATCCAACCATCGTCACACTTACAGTAACTGCTCAGTGTTTGGCAATGTTGTTCTCTACGATTGGGGCCTGATGTTATGTGAACATTATGCTCCAGAACGCTGCCATGCACTTCATATTCAACATCGAATGAGTTTAGCACAGACAAACAGTGGTTTTAGACATTTGTTACTAGGGAAAAAAAGACGGTAGCACCTACACCCTTTTGACATTCAGCAGGGGCGGATCCAGAGATCCCTACAGGGAGGGGGTCCAGTTAAGCCAAAACCGAATAGCTGATACAATCATGTACATGCACATGCATATGGTTTCCAGTAGTACGTTTGCGGAATCCAGGAACCCCCGGAACCACCCTGGATCCGCCCTTTTTCAGCTACACCAGATTGAATTTTAAAACTATGTAGCTAGCAGGAATAAGAGAGGTGCACAGGATAAATTCAGGAGCGTTAGAACAAGACGTACGCTTTAGCAGCTTCTTCCTGCATACGCTTGATTTCATCTTTCATGTTCTTTAGACGTGTAGTCGTGGCATGCTGTTCGCGGATGATGTCATCGAGCATGATGCCTCTTACTTCTTCTACATCTCTCTCCTGCCTTTTCTACAAGATAACGGTTTAGACAAAAACAAGACCAAGATAAGTAAGACAGGCCAGCAGCTATGACTAGTGCATATTACCACATGACATACTAATACTGTAAAGAGAGAAATTTTTGCTAGAGATTATATTTCGCTATTTTCACGACCATCACACATTCGCGAATGTAAATCGTCGCACACTGCTCTGTACATTGACTGTAGACAGTACAAGATCCAAATGAAAAGATAAAATTGCAAAAGTTTCTCGTCGTGAACGAGCACAATTCTTGAAACCGCAAACTTTGCGCGCCGCAAAAAATTATCGCTTTACAGTATGCATAAATGAATGGATGGATGGATGGATGGATGAATGGATGAATGGATGGTTGGAGGATGGATGGATGAATGAATGGATGGATGGATGGATGAATGGATGGATGGATGGATGGATGGATGGATGAATGAATAAATGAATGAATGATGGACTGGCTGAGTGAATGGGTGAATACATGGATGAACGAATGAATGAATGAATGAAGCTATTGTTACCATGCACATTAATTAAATGAATGCCTAAATTTATTACATGAAAACAGTTTGAACAGAAACTTGCTGTGCGCTACACATTAACCCAAAGCTGCCACAAATGCAACACAATCGGATGGTGTAGTATGTTGCTCATGATGAACATTAGCTAGTATTGGGCATTACAAAATGTGCAAATCTCCCGAAAACATACCACTTTGAGGCGTTCCTCCTCCAATTTGGCATTGCGAAGATCCTCTATTCCCTGCTCCTCATGAGCATCTCTGATGGACACGAGCAGGCTAGCAATCTATTCAGTGCAACACACACACAAACAAGAGTGCATTAGGTGCATCAGATCCTGCGCCTGAGTGTATTTATCTGCTCTGTGGCATCTTTGCCAAATTGTATAATTGCACAAGTGACCCATCGCCAGGGTGTAACATGAGTACAGTCGTCCCTCTTTAATCCGGCACTTTATAAACCAGCACCCTCTTTAAACCAGCACAATTTTCAGTAACCAAAAGGTCCTCGTCACGACACTGCAGCAGAAATTCAGATTTTCTAATCCAGCACCCTCCCCAGCAGAATTTTCTTAGCACAAATGGTGCCGGATTATAAAGGGACCACTGTATATGATTGTATATTTCGGAGTGGGACAGCGGAATTGGTAAGGCGTACTACTAATTGATGCGATATTCCAGCGTGCAAGTGCCAGTTCAGTTAACGGAACCGTGATCAAGATAATGACGTGATGCTGGCAGTTAGCCTAAATAAGAGAGCTGCAGATTCACAACTGATGGATGATTCTGCAATGCGTGGCATCTTCAGGTGAGCTTAATGATCGACAAATGATTTAGAATGAAGTCCCAAAATCAATCTGGATTGCTATTTCTATCAACTGGCAACTACAGAATGTGCTGAAGGTCGACCTGGCATGGATACTGCTTCCAAAGCAGCAGCAGCAGCAGCAGCTCAAGAAGACCTAGGTACTAGTAGAGCTTCTCACCTTCTCGTTTAGTTCATCTTGCTCCTGTTTATACTCGTCAATTTGGGTTCCTTTACACAGCAAATAAGGGGAACAACACGAGACACCGCATCAAGCCTCCAAAGCAAGGGCAGTTGCAAACATAGTACAAATGACACTGGAGTGCTCAATTCTAGTGCCAGGCATAATTCCACAATTCCATGATTTCAACACAGCACTATAGTAACACAGACCACCCGATATAACTCACCCAGAGTTTCCACATCGCTCCTGTTTGACTCCAGGGTCTCCCGCCACATGATAATGGCATGGAGATTGGACGTGTGTGAGAGATTTATCCTCGTTACTTCCTCACTGCCAACAAGAAAACACAAGATGTAGCATGAAATACATTTCGGGTTCTTAACCCGACTGCTGCATGGACGATAAGTGCTGCGAATAGTGATCATGCGCCCTGGCCTGAGTAGCTCGCTTGGCTAATTGAAAGTCTGCCGACCTGGGCCACATTATGTTGCTAAGGCATGCTCAACCCCAGTCACAGCGCGCAAGTTGGTTGAGTTTGGCCGTCAGGAGGCCAGCGCAAGGTATCCGGGGCGCGGGTCTGATTCCAGCGAGGGGCAATGTGGTACCCCGCAGCGCAAGGGTAGCGTGATACCCTAAGCCAGCGTGCGTGCTGCATGAGTAGCGTGATACTCGCTGAGCGCTTTTGCTGTTGCCTAGCAACGCGTTTCTGTCTTTCCTGGGCCCCCAACGCATGTTGGGTGGCCCTGCGCATGACTGCACGTTGTCATAGCAACCTTGGAAACCTCAAGCCGGTTACCAACAAGCTAGGAATCAGACCAAGCCGCCGAATGCCCCCGCCGGCCCCCGGCACTTCATTGCAATTGAATTAATATTTGTCCAGAATAGTGAGCTAGGACAGATCAAGAGGCGTGGGTGGGAGGGAGAAATTGCGAAACAGTTGGATGCACGCAGCAGCACAGCTAGCAAGAGAAAGAGCCGTGGATGGGTTTGTTCCTGTTTTTGATGGCTGTGGCCATCCGTTGGCCCAGCGGTCTCGTGTGAGTACGGTGTTTGTTCGTGCTGCCAGCTCGCGCCCGGCATTTGTTTGCGCTGGCAGCTCGGGCCCGGTGCGCGAGTGAAACCGAACCGTGACAAAGGCTTTCGCTCTTTAGTGCTATTGACTGGCTTTTCATACGATGCCTATTGATGTCTAGAGACATGCTGTCTAGCCTTCCCCTAGTACGCATTCACGGGGCTTTGTTGAAGTTCGTGCCGTGAACTGCCAAAGGGAACTGTTTGAATGGTGCTGGGGCGAGTGCGACATTACGGCGTCCCTGCAGCCGGCCTAATCGCGTTTGTCGCCACAACCGATTTTATCGTGAAACAACCTTATTCAGGCTTCAAGTAACCCTTTGAGGGTCAGATCGTTTTCAGGATTTTTAACGAAATGATGTAGAGAGAGAATGAAAGGAATTACACGAGACAGCTGTGTGCATCGGTGAATAATACAAAAAAGTCACTGGTATTCTCGGAGATATGGTGAGAGTCCAGCTCCATAAATGAAAGGTAAAGTTGAGTGAGGGGCCAGACCATAACAGTACAATGACCAGCTCTGCATTGGTGAATAGCGGCGAAATGGTCCCAAGACTCTATCGTCACTTTTCTATGGTGGTAATCCAACACACATGGTGAAATGACAGTAAATAATCCAGCTCCGCAAAATACAGGCAACTTTGAGGGGGAAGCCAGCCCATCAAACGAAGAGACAAAGGGAAAGGAGACGGTACCGGACTATACAGCAAGGCAGAAATAGGTCTACACAATGATCAGTGGAGGTTGAATTCGATCCTTCTCAAATCTTCGGGCCTTTCTTAGACGCCAGGCTGACAAATTTAACCTAGTTTTCACCAATGCCCACTAGACTGATGTAAAGGCAATCTAATGCAATTATTTCTTTCCTTTCTCTCTCTCTCTCTCTCCCCCCTATTTATCTCTGTTTCTTTCTCCTTCCTATTCGCCTTTACTAGCTAAAAAACAGCTTGAAATGGCTTTATCCACCGCTATGGTATAAAATATCCTTTCCTCAAGAAAAAGAGGAGGAGGAAGAAGAAGAGGATGTGGTGGTGGGGAGGAGGAGAAAGAGGAGGAGGAGGAAGAGGAAGAGGAAGAGGAGGAGGAGGAGGAGGAGGAGGAGGAAAGGGACGAGGAAAAGGAGTAAAGGAGGAACTTGTGACTCACTTGATCTGGCGTAATGAGTCCCGTGCAGCCTCAAGCTTCATGGAAATGGTTTGCCGTTCTATCTGGGCTGTCTCCAAATCCTGTAAAGAAAGGCAACAACAGTTCACACCACCCATTCCTGTCTCTTTCATCTACATGTACCTTTGAAAGGTCAGCTTGCAAACAAAAACCATCTCGGAAGGAATACAACAAGCGGAGATGTGTCCAGTTGGATGAAAGTCACTGACTTACAATTGTCAGCTTGTTCTGGCATGATGCAAGCTCCATCTTGTGTTGTGCTAATAGGTCAGATATCTGTGAAAAAGCAACAGCCAGAAAAGAAGGAATCCTCAAGCACTAAACTGTGGTTTTACAGAGCACCATGCTTACTATGCGCTATACATGAAAATCACCTTTTTTCATGCCCTGAGGGAAAAGCCAATAACTACCGTGCACTGGTGTTGGTGTTGGCTCTGCTGCGCTCAACAATTTTTAAGCCGCTGTGTCCAGGTGCACGGTTATCATATCACTGGCCCGTAAATTTATTATGTGAGCTAGTGCTCGTCAAGCGTCGATGATCCCTCGCTTAGGTGGGAGGTGATGCTGTCGAGAGTACGGTATGCTTGTCATGTGTTTGGTTACTGTGGTGAGTATGGTATGCCTATCATGTGTTTGGTTACTGTGGTATTTGTGTTTTTCTATAGCTTGTTCTATCTCAGTCTTGTACACATGTCTCACCTACTATTTCACTTATGTTCCTGACCTGCAGTCACTGGTATCAATTCAACCCTGGCCAAGCTCAGCATTCTTAATTTATCAGTGTGTCCGATGAATGCCCGGCTAGAAGGACATGAAGCAAGTGTGTTACATTCATGAATTGGAGCTTGCTGCTTGGTAACTTGTATGTGGACTGATCACTCTGTTGAGCCAGATGACTTCTCCTAATACCCTGTGTTAACCTGTCATTAACTTGTTACCACCAAAATTCATATACATCCACCTCTTTGGGTGCCATAACTTCTCAAGGAATGATAAGGAAGGAGTAAGAGAAAATCTCCCCACTTTTTTTGCGGCATTCAATTTGAAAGGCTTGGTACATAGTGGATTCGTAACAAAGCCATGTACAACTACAATTGTAGTGTATTTAAAATAGCGGCGAATCCTTGCCATGCATACTAGTACCTGTTGCATACAGTACCTGTGTGTAGCTGTCTAAGCACCAAAGAAATGCGATAGGCAACTTTCGTGTCTATCGCATTTCTAATAAGGTCTATACCTGTAGTCAATGCCTGCACACAATCCGGTGATGCGTCTAGGGTCAGCAACATAATTCCATAATTGTGTGCAGTCGACTAACTTACTCTTTTGTCCTCTTTCTGCAAGTCGGCAATGGCCTCAGTGTCTTCCTCTGTTTTCTGTGCCATCACCGCCCTACATCAACGAGGACGACGAGGACGGCGACGACGACGACGACGACGACGACGACGACAACAACAACAACAACAACAACAACAACAACAACAACAACAACAACAACAACAACAACAACAACAACAACAACAACAACAACAACAACAACAACAACAACAACAACACCAACAACAACACCAACAACAACACCAACATGAGAAGAAAGATTTGAAACAACAGCAGCAAGCAAAGCAGCTACGACAGCGACACAGTACACTCTGTCAAATGATCCATGTCTTGTCAGAGTCAGGAAGGTCGTGCATGCTGCAGTTGGCCAGGTTTCATGTCCATCGAAGATCTGTAGCTAGGTTCACCAGTGCATGCCAGAAGATTTCCAACAATAAATATTCTTGTCGTGCAGCAAATTGTGAAAGGTTATCCGCCTAAGCATTAACCTGGCTGATGCATAATGTGGAAGAGGTGTTGACAGGATGTCAGGAAGGCATGGATAATCTCATGTCCAGCAATGAAGCCATGGCAACGAGGCATGTTAGCACAAACAAGGCTAATTCTTCTTCCTGTGGCACTAGGAAGGTTTAGTTCCACGTAGTCCGTGGGTACTTTACGTGTGTGTACCACGTGATACTCAGTGACCCACGTACAGCGGTTTTCTGATTCACGACATACAGTGTACGGAGGCTCACCTGGGTGAAAATCAGAATGGAGCGCATTGTGCGAGCTGTGAGGGTGCTCAGCTGAAGAAGTTTCCGAAGCACGAAATCAAAATATTCGATGAACTTCTAAGCTTCGTATTGACCAGGTTTGGGCCTTTCGCTTCATGTTGTTTTTTTGTTCCGTGCGACTAAACACAACATTGCAAACGTGGGTCCATTGCAGGAACTTTACGTGTATGACCCACGTTCCCGTATCCGTTACGTGGGACTAAACCTCGCTACTGAGATCTACTCACTTGTAGTCGTTGAAGAAATTGAACTCATCAGTGACGCGTGCAAGCTGGCCCCCTTTGTTATCCAGTGGACGATGAAGGGAAAGAAAAATACCGAGAGGTATGAGCATTGAATGTGCATTCTAATGTCGGAATACCATCAATACCATCATGCCTTCCATCAGTAGTTTACAGTTTACACACACAACTTTACAACCATCAGTAATAAGTTACTAATAACTTCATGTGTGAGCGACACCAGAAAGTACAACTGTATCCAAACAAAGCCAGACCGTGGACATTAAAGCATGTGTACACTCAGTTTTATGGAAGGAATTGGCAATAGAATTATTGCACCCACCTCGATTCTAAATGCCAGTCTCAGTGTCTGTTGATCCGGCACAGTTTCCAACGTATGGGCAATGACAATCGATTTTATAAACCATAATTATTATGGTGAATACTTAAAGCCACAGTCAAGAAATGCTTCACAGGAGCACCAATGCACAGTTACTATGAGTAAAGGACATGCAATAATGAATCTACTACTACTAATGATGCCATAGGAACTCATGACTGGCACTTTGCATAGAAGGCATTATTGTGATAATCCGTTTGCATAGATACTAGCAGTACTGGTTACCATAGTGATATATTCTTACGTGCAGCAGTGAGTTTGTGATCCAGTCTGATCTCCTGGCGTTCACTGTAAGTTGCTTGCCATTCCAGCTCGGTGAGATTGACGAAATACTTGTCATGTTCTGATCGGTGACATACACAGTGTACAGTGCACAGCATGCGCGAGATTGTGTGACATTCGGAGTGCAAGAATTTCAAGACATGGCGTAAAACTGATCGGATGGGCTCCAGGTCATGCGGATACGGTCACTGGGCTCAGTCCGGGAATGCACTGCGTTTTGTTCCCAGGTGTAAAGTGCCCTGGCTACAATGTGTGCATACGCACGGCTTGAATGTAGTTCTGAGTTGAGAACATCTACACAGTACAGTTCTGGCTAGAGAAATAAATATATGACCTCATGAATACAGTGGCCGGCGCCATGCTCAGGTGCGTGCTGCTAGGGCCCCGTAACCCTAGTTATGGTCTGGTCTCATGTAGCCCGGGTAAGTGTCTGGTCTCATGTAGCCCGGGTAAGTGTCTGGTCTCATGTAGCCCGGGTAAGTGTCTGGTCTCATGTAGCCCGGGTAAGTGTCTGGTCTCATGTAGCCCGGGTAAGTGTCTGGTCTCATGTAGCCCGGGTAAGTGGAGTTTGAATGTACATGTACAGTGCTGCCAAGTGCAGGGAATGTACAGCGGTAGTACCTGGACCTGTGTAAGCAGTTTTTGATTGGTCCGGCCATTCCATAGCCTTTCACTCTTTGTGTATGATATGTTGGGTGCACAGTCATAACTCCCCCAGCAGTAAACATGCCGTGGTGGCCAAATGCTGGTCCGGTGATGACCTGACCAACCGCACCGGTTACGGCAGGCCTGCACAGTGAACAGACACAGCAGTAACACACTAACCTTTCTGCACTATGATGGGCAGCTTCTCCAACCGGAGCCGCTCCATGCTTCTCAGCTCCGATTTCAACTGCTGTACCTGCGCTTTCTCCGACACCAGTGCTTTTGTCAACACAGACTGCATGTGGTCTAGCTTTTTCAGGAGACGCGTGACGTCACGAAACACACCGGAAGCCTCCGACTGGAAGGCAGCAGTTTTGCTCGGATTGGGCAACGACGAGGGCATCGATTGTATCATCGATCCTGATATTTGAAGTACATCTTCCAGCTGCACGGAGTCCGCGGACTCGTTCCCATGATCAGTTCTTCGGGTAGCGGTGTTTGCAGTGGCTGCCCCGATATTACCGGTACCACCACCATTGGTACTACCTGAATCACCGGGTGCTGCTGCTGCTGCTGCAGATACAGCACCGGGTGACGACCGTCGGTCATTTTCCAACTGCTTCAAACGAGCAGCAACGCTGGCTAGTTTCTGCTCGGCCTTGGTCACGCACGGTGCAACAACGTGAAGAGCGGAGCAGCTGTGTTCAGAGTCAATGGTTTGGGCAGCGCCAGGCAACACTAAAGGTAAACAATCAGTCTTCGTCGCCATTCCGTCTAGTTTGGAATAGGCACGGGGAAACTGTCCGCGCTTACTCAGTAAACAAACTAGAGCTAGCAAAACTGTCCATCGCGATGGAAATAGATAATGATTGCTACTAGCACTCTCAGTCTTGCAATCACTAACCCGATGGTGACCAAAACGCTGCACCGTGAGTCGTCGGGTTGGACTAACTGTGAGGTTTGTAGAGTTGGACGACCTACATTGTAGTAGCTGTTGCACTTGCAGTACTTCTTCCACTCGAATCACGCGCAAGGATGGGGCCGGGGAGGAGATCTTTGACTCGGAGCAAAATGAACAAGTAATATTATAATAAGTATTAGTTTCGCTGGAATGAGACAGTTGAATGAACTACATGTACCAGTAACAGTCTTTGCTTGAGTGAGTACAGTTTGCTAAAACTGCTGTCCGGGTTCGTCACCATGGCGACGGTACACCGGTGAGTCTTCGTTGGCACGGTTGCAGCAGCATTTACACCATAGCGCCCATAATTATACCATGCCATGTCAGCGTTCTTTCACTTTTCAGCTAGCCCGGGGGCAGAGGCAAAGCAGGCAGAACTGAGCCAGAACTAGACGGTAGACCATCTACATGACTGTATATTTTGTTGGTTGACAGCAAGTAATTAGTTACAAGGCGGAGGACCACCATGTTCGGAAACAGTGCCCCTAACTACAAGTACAACCATCCACGGTTGGTAGAGACCCGGTCTTGCGACCATCTGAACCGTATGGGTGTTAGTCCCGGTTCTGACCCTCATTATACTAGGGAGTTGCCTTTGTCTTCTTGTTGTTGCACCATCAGCCGTGTATTCTTTGTTCAATCCTGGAGGTCTTCTTGAATCAACTTGATACTCAGTCCTCATAAACTTTGTAGCGTTTGTTCTGAATTGGTCTTCTTCATTCTCTTTCTTTATACTCTTTTCTTCTTTTTCCAACTTCTGCCCATGACATCCCTCTCTCAGCTCGTCAGCTGACAACAGTCACCACCATGATACTGTCGCGAGAAGGTGTTCTCTGTAGATGAGGTTGGTGATGTTCCGACGCGGCCATGGTCTACAGAGAGCACCTTCTCACGACAGTATCATGGTGGTGACTGTTGTCAGCTGGCGAGCTGAGAGAGGGATGTCATGGGCAGAAGTTGGAAAAAGAAAGAAAAGAGTATAAAAAAACGCTACACAGTTTATGAGGACTGAGTATCAAGTTGATTCAAGAAGACAGACATCCAGGATTGAACAAAGAATACACGACTGATGGTGCAACAACAAGAAGACAAAGGCAACTCCCTAGTATAATGAGGGTCAGAACCGGAGCTAACACCCATACGGTTCAGATAGTCGCAAGACCGGGGCTCTACCAACCGTGGATGGTTGTAGTTAGGGGCACTGTTTCCGAACACACAGTGCGTCCTCCGCCTTGTAACATGCTGTCAACCAACAACATGTTTTCAACAAAACAAGGTTTACCTACATGTACATACCGGCAGATGTACATGTACATCATTGAATATTCATAGGTGTTTGCATGGGCTGTGCTTCATCTGGTTATTGTGGTCATGGAGGCTTTGAAGGAACACATTAGTTAGGTTGCAGTTTGGTACTCTCAAAACATACTGGTAGCACCGAACCACTACTAGCACCAGCACTGAAAAGTGATAATTTGCAGTTTGTAAACTGCAACGCATAACAAAGCACAGCCGCGGTGCCAGAGTAACAGAAACACATGAAGCAGGCTAGAAAGTAGAAACACTGACAGCACAATCATTATTATTGTACAATCTCATGTCACGCGTTCAGTCATCCCGCATGCTGGTCATATGGGACAGCGTGCTGGCAGCTCAAGTAAGCTTTCCAGTATATTCCATGCAAACCGTAGCCTGAATATTGCCTTATTGTTATGGAGTGAGTTCATAGTCATGTGCCAAATTAATGAATACCCAGTGTCGGATACGGAAAAAGCCAAAAGAAAGGCACATGTACCTGGACAAGTGCGACCATGTATAATAATCACGTTGATGTGTGGATAGCACTTGATGTGTGGATAGCACTTGATGTGTGGATAGATGGTGGTAAATATAATCACCGTTAGCTTCAGGTATCCGGAATATTCACTTCCAACAGTTCAACCGTCCAGAGGGTGTTGGACAACTGGCACTGCCTGTGCTGGAAGAAGTCATCAGTATTATAACCGTAATGATCACATGTACACAGTCACTACAAACGCTACAACATAAAGCTGCTTGGCACAAACTGAACATGTGGGTGACAAGCTGAAAACGTGGCTAAACATAGCCTGTAACAGTCCAACTAACTTCAGTAGTCATTCTTGGAATAAGCAATGATCCTTGCCATAATGCATTCTTATATACATGAACAAGCAATGATGGACATAACACCTAACAGCAGCAGCGTGATAATAGCAGGTGATAAGTGTATCCTATTCCTAGTGTTAGTAGTAACAGTGAATCTGTTACACCATCCCCCCCTCTCAACTGTCAGAACAGTACCAATTCGAAGGAACAGTTATGGTAACTAATGATCATGCATGGATATGTGGAATGCATGGTAGCCGAAAACAACACTGATGAACTCAAGATCCAGTGCATGTCCTCTGCAAATAACGCCTGGCTGGCAGGGAAGCACTATCCTAATCATGCAGAATGCTACATTTCTATTGCAACACGTAGAAACTAGCAATACAACTGTGGCTGCCAATTAAATAGCAATTTTATGAAAAACGGTCCAGGTAGGTTTTCAGCGGGATAATAGCGTTTCCTGCTTCATCCATCAAGTATTCCTCCGGCTCCCAGGTGGCATCTCGGTAGCCCTTCCATTTCACTAGGTACTGCGTGCACCGTCCTCTCTTCTTGTGCGACAACACCTTTTCGACAATGTACCGCGTATGGCCATCCGCATCGGTTAGGGGTGGAGGTGCCGGCTGAGTACGGCCCGGTATCTCATTGCCATGGTACAGCTTGAGGGCAGCAATATTGAACACTGGATGGGCCCGAATGATTCTTGGAAGAGCTAATCTGTACGCATTCGGGGCCACTTTCTTCTGCACCTTGAACGGCCCATACCACTTGAGCCTTAAAGGGGAAGTATACCCTAAAATCAAATTTTCACCAGTTGTAGTCTTCGGGGTGCTGAGTCGAATGGTCGTGGTCCGAGGAAGCTGAGACGCTCCCTTCCTACTTGAATCCCAATCGAACTCGCGCACTTCCACCGAAACTGGGTGACTGCGCCCTACTAGATGGGGATTTGTATGCAAAATGTCACTAAAAGCGCCATTTCGTTCTTATAAAAGCACGGATGACCGCGATTGGCCCATATGTTGTAGTCTTTTGGACGCTGAGTCGACTGGTTTTGGTCCGAAAAGGCTGCGATGCAGCGTTCCTCCTTTATTCCCAATCGAACATGGTTGAACAAGCGGCCACGTGCTCCTGCGTACACCAGTCAGCTGGTCACCGTGCCTGCAGGGTACAACTTACTAGCCTGTTTGACCTTTTTTGGGTGCAGTCCTGTCACTCGAGTTGAACCTTGGTGTGAAAATTGTCGCCTGCTGGCGCGGTGACCAGGTGATTTGGGCAACCAGGACCACGTGACCGCTTCTTCAACCATGTTCGATTGGGAATAAAGGAGGAACGCTGCATCGCAGCCTTTTCGGACCAAAACCAGTCGACTCAGCGTCCAAAAGACTACAACATACGGGCCAATGGCGGTCATCCGTGCTTTTATAAGAACGAAATGGCGCTTTTAGTGAGATTTTGCATACAAATCCCCATCTAGTAGGGCGCAGTCACCCAGTTTCGGTGGAAGTGCGCGAGTTCGATTGGGATTCAAGTAGGAAGGGAGCGTCTCAGCTTCCTCGGACCAAGACCATTCGACTCAGCACCCCGAAGACTACAACTGGTGAAAATTTGATTTTAGGGTATACTTCCCCTTTAATTTGTGTGAAGGCCTGTCTCGTTCCTCGGGCGTCAGCAGGAAGTCCCTGAAGACCAACACCTCATCCCCCTCCTTCAGGGCGTCCTCCACCCGTCCTCGATCCGCATACAATGATTGCCGGGCCTGCGCCGCCACGATGGCATCCTGTGCCTCACGTAGTGCCTCTACGCGGCCATCCAGCCATGACAGCGGACCATTCGTGTCCATGCCAGCTCCAGCTTTCTGCTTCGTCAATAAGCTCGAGGGAGTAACTGGATGGCATCCATGGTTGAGGAAAAATGGCGTGTTACCTGTTGACGCTTGATCGGCATTGTTGATCGCAAACTCACATAGCGATAGGAGTTCATCCCAATTGTTTTGCCTATGGTTGACGAAAGCTCTTAGCGTATCCTCAATGACACGGTTCACACGCTCAGTCATGCCATCGGTCTGCGGGTGGTTGGCCGTGCTCATTTTTAGCTCCACGCCAAGAATACTGAAAACCTCCTTGAAGAACGCCGACGTGAATCGCGGATCTCGATCACAAACTATCGTTTTGCTCAAGCCATGGGCAGCAAACACATGATCCACGTACAATCGGGCTGCCTCCTTAGAGTCAACATGAACAGTCGTCGGGATCAGGTGCACATACTTCGTCAGACGGTCCACAAAGGTTAGAATGGCGCTATGTCCTCGGCAGGTCAGCGGCAGTGCCATGATGAAATCCATGCTGATGTCTGTCCAGGGCTGTTCGGGGACTGGAAGGGACTGCAACAGTCCTGCCTTGGTCTGGCTACCCTTTACGCGTTGGCACCGGTCGCAAGATTTAACGAAGTCCTTCACACAATCACAGTACTTCTCATGCCTGGCCAATAGAAGTATCTGCTCAGCTTCAGGTAGGTCCTGTCTCTCCCCGGATGGCCGGCCGTCAGGCAATCATGATTCTGTTTGAGCAGTTGCAGCCGTACCGGACCGCGAGGAATGCAGAGGCGAGCATCGCCCGATGTTACTAGGTACAGCCGCCGGTCCACACTGTTCCAGACGTATCGCTCATGCATGGCGTCTTCGCTGCAAGCCATCAAGCGCTTGATTACTGGCGCAAGCTCTGGGTCACTATCATACCCTGCTGAGATCTGATTCGCAATTCCTTGATTCACATCCAGAGAGAACTCGATTCCATTCAGTTCCAAGTCTGGTCGACGTGACAACGGGTCTGCTATGTTACACTTCCCTGGCTTGTGATGTACCGTGTAGTCATAGTCGGCCAGGAATTCAATCCATCGAGCCTCTCTCTTGGTTAAGTTCGGTTTGGTCCTGAGGCAGACAACTCCCATGTTGTCGGTGTAGAGTTGAAAGTGGCGAAATAGGTAGACTCGCCAGCACTGCAGGGCGTACACTACAGCCAAAG